TGTCTGTCTCTCTGGGTGTGTCTGTGGATATGTGTCTGTGGGTGTGTGTCTGTCTGCCTGTCTGTCCGTGTGTGTCTCGGTGTGTGTTTGTGTGTGTCTGCCTGTGGGTGTCTGTGGGTGGGTGTCTATGTGTGTGTAGGTGTGTGTCTGGGGACGAGTCTGTGTCTGTGTGTGTCTGTCTGCCTGTGTGTGTCCATCGGTGTCTGTGTGTCTATCTGTATGTGTGTGTGTGTGTTTAAACAACAGCACAAACTTGCTCCGTGAAGCACCATTCTAGACACTGGACATCATGTCGATGCTCCATTCCGGAGCCAGGCTTACCTTGGCGCTGCAGAGGCTTTGAGCCCGGGTGACCGTTGGACTGGCCAGCTCTTTGAAGGGGGTTTCTTTTCGGCACGTGACTCTGAGCTCCTCTCCTGAGAGTCTGACGAAGCCACTTCCCAGGGACCGGGGAAGGTCTTGACAAGGCTGAAGTGACCGAGGACGTTGTTGTGCTTGGCTGCACACTGCAGACGTATGGAAGCAGCCGGCAGGAGCTCCAAGGACACATGGCCCGGGGTCCATCTGATGCACTGACCTCTCCAGAGTGTGGGAAAGCCAGGGTGTGACCTTGAGGCCTCAGGTGCCCCTGACCCAAGCCACGGCATCTCCAGGGCCTCCTCTGCGTGTGGACATCGAGCACTGAGCAGGAAGACCAGGAAGAGCGAAGAGGAGAGCCGATGCGTGACGTGGTGGTGCTGGAGAAGACCATGGAGAGTCCGCGGCTGCTCGGAGGACAGCCCGCTCTGGCTCTGAAGAAGGACGGCCAGTGCGCTCCTCAGAGGCGAGGACGGTGAGACGCCCTCTCGCATCCTTTGGCCTCGTCGTCGGGAGAGACTGGTTCTTGGAGAAGGCTGTCGTGCTTGGTGAAGTGGAGGGGCCGTGAATGAGACCGCGGCCCTCAAGGAGATGGACTGACTCTGCGGCTGCAGCCGTGGCTCGGCCAGCAACACTGTGAGAGTGGCGCAGGACGGGGCAGGGTTTCCATTCTGCTGTGAGTATGGTCACTATGGGTCGGAACCGACAGGCTGACCCCTCAACAACCACCACCACGGGGACGGGGGTCTTTAAGGGGAACCCCAACCTTGATTATGTGAGCTGCTGCCCTCCACTCACCTCCATACGTGGACCCCATGCACCCCCCGGAGCCAGACCCTGTCCCCTCCTGCGCCTGCCCCAGGGGTTGCTGGTCGGACCCTAAGATCCACGGACATTTTTCATCAACTGATTGTGGAAGGAGATGGCCAAGCCCTTCTTCCTAGTCTATCGTAGACTGGAAGCTCTGCCGGAAGCTGCCCGCAGCACAGCAACAGGCCAGGCTCCCCAGACAGAAGGGTGGTGCACACTGGCCAGGAATCAACCTGGCCGCTCATGGGTCGAGAATTCTACCCATGAATCTCCACCTGCCTCCTGGCCTTGTTAAGCAAATCCAAAACCCCTGGCCATAGAATAGGCTCTACTTCACAGTGGCCCTACAGGGCAGAGAAGGCCTGCCCGGGGGCTTCCCAAGCCTGCAGGTCTTTAGAGAAGCCAACTGCCTCGTCTCTCTCTCCTGACAAGCGGCTGGTGTGTTCAAACCCCGGGCCTATCTCTTAGCATCCTGGCGCTTAACCAACCTTGCCACCAAAATGCCGTTTAACCTGGTTAGCTGAATCACTCCGCCGTTCCCACATCCCTCCCCACCCTTAAATCAAAACCATCTGTAACCCTGACGTGAGTGAGGCCAGGCAGGGGGTGGGGGGCACTTGAGAGAAGTGATAAATTACTGGCTAGTAAATGAAGGTAGGTATAATCGTAA